GTACATTAAATATATTTACGGTACGATTTCCCCACAGATGTGCCATGAAGCAGTCCTTTCTTTGCTTGGGCCTTCTCTCTACTAGAGACCCATGTATTTTGTAATTGAAGAACACCAAGTTCCTCCTTGAACTCTTCCTTTGGGAGGCCAGAATTTCAACTATGTCACTGAGCTTTGGAAAACACCACATTGGCCCCTCAAATTAAACCTGGAGTTGGTATATACTGGGGAGTCTTGATGCCGTCTGGGTGCAAAGGGCATTCAGGCCCTCAGAAGGAAGCCCAGCTGAAGTTCTTTAGACCCAGACACCCTCCTGGGTCACCCCAATGATCATCAAGCTCTGCCTCCGGGACTCCTGCAACATTCAATGTTCTGCCCACTTAGTCTGGCACTTTTTATTGACGTTCGTCTTTATGTATATTATTTTATGTGTACATGACCTGTCTTTCCAGTTAGATCATAAATTCTTCACGGGCAGATGGCATATGTCTTTTATCTCTTTTTATAATCCACAATGTCTCACATTGTGCCTTTATATAAAAGTGCTCCATTCACATCTAGCTTCAGTTATGAGCAATTTTCTTATAGGAGACAGGACATGAGCAACTTTCTTATAGGACACGAACTAACTATATAGACATCCTTTAAAAGCACAACTTATACAAAAAGCCAATAGTTGTTGTTTCAGCTAAGCAAGCCGGATTTTAAAAATCATTTGCTTAATTTTGAAGTTACTGAGGATTGTAAGGGGACTCTCAAGTCAGGAATTTACATCAATTACAAAAGCAAAGAAAATGTTAGTTGCTTTAAAAAAACAAACTTAAACTATGAGGTAACCCCAATATTTGACTTGACTCAGAGCCTTATGAAAACAGGCTTATTTTCAACCTTCTCAAATAGAGAAACTGCGGTCTTGTGCTCCATATTGTGGAGGGTTTTGTTTTTGTTTTTGTTTTTGTGGATTTAAAAATGTGGGGCAGTAGTTAATTAGAATCTTAGAGTAACAAACCACACTACTCCATGAAGATTCTCATTGAAAAAAAACTATCTGTTTTCAGTAGT